CCCTATCCCCCCATTTTCTTCTACTCAGTAGTACACCAAATTTGCATACTTTGGATGTAGCTGATTAAGTTGACTAGAGTATGATGTTTCTCTCCATCCAAATTCGAGTTGGAATCTCTTTTTATAATTTAAATTAGATTAATTAAAATATCTCTCTAATTAAATAAAGTACCCGCAAACTTAAACTTAGATTCATTCACAACCTCGTCCTATTAGAACCACCCTACTATTAATTAGGACGATTTACTCATGTCTAGAAATTAGGGATTTTATGTAAAATTAATTAATTGAAAAAATTCTCTCTTCAAAACCTTTATCTGATCCGGGCATTCGCCTTAAATAATTTTATGGCAAAACATTAATTCACATGTTTCCCTTCATAAGTGATTTTGATCCTCTCAAAATAACTTACAGACGGTCATAGAAGGCTTTGTGAAAGTACTTATGAATGTTTATTATTGTGAGAACGGAACAAGTGATATCCGAGACTCCCGGTGGAGTTATGAGGTCGTCAGGTCACGCATCTAACTTTCCACCACCAAGTCACTTTCAAATATATCTCTCTCTTTCTAGGGCATCAGAAACACCATCATGTTATGCTCATCCCACGTGTCATGATTTGTCAATATATAAAACAGAAACCAATTAAATGAAAGCCATGTACAATCTCGTACGCATACAACCTCCTTTGGACTGATGAATAAACAGGTGTATATGCATGTACATACGTGTCTTCTTCTTCATACAATTAGAAGAAGAAAAAACAAAACCAAAACCTAGACTGGATGAAAGTTAAGGGAAAATGTTTATATAAGCTACTGAGGGTGGCCTAGTGGTGAGAGTGGTTAGGGCTATGAGTAGAAGTAGGTTCAAGGTTTGAAACCCTCCAAAAACTAAGATTGAAAAAGGAAAATGTATTTACAGCTGAAGAGATTTATTTACCAGAGTGATTGTCCCAGGTATTTGGGAATGTCCCTTTACAGAGGTTGCTAAGTTGAGTTTGAATGTTGACCAAGAATGTTGTTGCTTCATCGAATGGCCTAGATAGCTCCTCCTTGAATCTATGGAGAACCTCAATATATGATTCCTTGCAAAACAAAGAAAAAGATACATGTAGAAGCTCACAAATTTAACCCTAGTTTTCTGTACATTTTCCTTTCTTTTCTCAGCAATCAAACAGAACTTAAAGAGTACAAAATATCACAAAAGAAATGAATAAAAGTGAATAATTAATCAGTATACCATGAACTCGTCAAGTTCTGGATCAGCTCCTATCTCACTGCAGGTGCTCATTGGGTGGCTTACCCTTCCAATTTCTTCAAGCAGATTTTTCATCTCCGCTGGTGCTCCAACCTGTAAAAGTATAATATTCTATGAAAAACTCAAAACAACCATATATAATTAAAACCCTGCATACTGTTTGCTTAATTAACGAATACGGCCAAATGATGAGGATGCATTGATATGGTTAGGAGAAGTTACGTTTAGAGTAGGTTAGGTCTAAAGTTCGAAAAGTCCAAATGGAACCAAAACATTATAAAATAATGCCTGGCCTCTACTATTTTAATTTACATATTTTAATTTTCAGGGTACAGTGGGTTCTAAATAACACAGGAAATCATTAATGTATACTGCAAAAATTAAATAAAGATAAGAGATTATTCATGCACTGGTGTATTAATTAATTAACCTTTTGGCATTCTAGGTATGCGGTAACTAAATCAGAGAAACGAGGGTGACTGGCTATCTGGGACTTGATCAGATCAGACATATGATCGGATCCTAAACCCTCCGTCCCAAATAACAGCATATTATGATCATCCACCACATGACCACCGCCATGAAACCCACCACAACTGGCGCTGCTAGTACTAGTAGACATATTTTCAACTTGCTGATGAACATTCACATGATCATCTGAACCTGCACATGTCACACCTGCGATCATCCTGTAAAATTCCTCCATATGTATATCGTTCTCAACGAAAAATGTAGCCAAAAATTAAGCAACAATAATGTAGTGATAATTGCGAGGGAGGGTGCAAGTGCAAAAGAGAGAGATGGGTACTAGGAACCAAAGGTTTTTTTTTTTCTTTTTGTTTTTGTTTTCTTGTGGGGGAATTTTGAATTTTCACATGGAAATTGACTAAGACTTTACTTTCTTTTCCAAGAAAAAACCTGAGAAAAAGGGAAGGACACAGAGAGAAAGCGGAGAAGGAACCTCAAGGTACTGTTGTTTGTGCGTGGAGAGAGGATGGGAGAGAGACTTCTATTGCACAACGGATGGTGGGATGGAACGGTGTAGGGATTAGGAGCCCATATTTATGGAGATCCAGCGGTCACTTTCCTCAGAGCATTGGAACTTTGGAATTACCTTTAACTGTGAGATGACATTCTTGCTACGTTTTGGAACCCTATTGGTTCAGAAACCGACACTGTAATGGTTAATGGGTCCAGATTCAACTCTTCATCGAAGACTTTGCTCTCCTGTAATTTCTTAACCAATTTTATATCTTACAACATCCGTTAATGGAGAACGAAAATAATACAAAAATAATGAATTTTGAGTTATCCTAATAATTAATCGGGTTATTGTTCCTCGTTAAGAACCTGTTAATAACAGATTTCTTAACAAATTTACACTCAAGTAACCCGGTTTGACTTGCTACTAAGAAAACCTTACAAGTTGCTACAGTAGCAATAATACTTGATCTCACATAAGTGAGATTTTTAAATTTTCCAAAGCACATTAACGATATAAAGCAATTTAAAAATACTAAAACACATTAAAAAATTCATAATAATTCATTTACAAGTGTGAAAAATATACAAACGCTTATGATCGCATCCTCTACACTTTAACGATGAGTACATCGTCATTTAAATTTTACCCTACAAATCCTCATGAATAGTGTATTTAGGGGGACTTCAAAATAAATAAAAATTCATAATAATTAATATACAAGTTGAAAATGTGAAAAAAATATATAGGGAAGTGTTATTGGCACTTCAAATATCTCATTCTACACTCATCACAAGTGTATTTTTGCTTTCAAATATAGCAAATTTGGAGTGTAGAATGAGATTTTTAGAATGTCAATAACAATTCCCAATATATAAACTTTCATGATTGCATCGTCTACTCTTATTCAATGATTACATCTTCGTTTAGGTTTTAAAACCCTCATGCATAGTTTTTTTGTTTGAGTGCAAAATTAATAAAAATTCATATTAATTAATGTATAAGTGTGAAAATTGTAAAAAAATGTACAATCGCTCGTAATAACATGCTTTACTACTTTTGTGAATGACTCAACTCCAAAATATGACACCATAATTTAACCGTAGATTGTCGTTTACACTTTATTCTTCTCACAGGGTTTCGTTTTTCAAATTCTCTTTTTCGAAAACATGATCTTTTAACGAATGCATAAAAATGAGTGGTTCGGATCATTGATATCACGTTTCCAATGTTTATGGTTAACTGAAATATTAGTCGATATTATATAATTGGGTTAATTACAAAAAACTACCTCAAGTATGGGTCAAATGACACTTTCATACCTCATCTTTTAAAATTGACAATGTCATACCTCATCTTACGAATTTGTGTCAATGTTATACCTTCCGTTAGTTTGGCCGTTTATTCTCAGTTAAATGCTGACGTGGCTTGATCTGGGACCCATTTTTATTAAAAAATTAATAAAAAAAATTATTAAAAACAAAAAAAAATCATTTAATATTATTTAAATATTAAAATAATAAAATAAAATAAAATATAAAAAAAAACCAACGTCAGTTCTCCCTTCCCCCCCCTCTCTCCCTTCTCCCCCATCTCATCTTCTTCCCCTTTCTGCAACTACAACCCAGAAAAACAGAAGAGAAAAAAAAAAAAAAAAAAACCAATTTGTTTTCCTTGCTCCTCACCCCCTCTTCTCCCCACACCCACGCACCCAACCTCCCCACCTTCGCACCCCAACCTCGCACCCACTATCTACAACCCCTAAAAAAAAAAAAAAAAAAAAACCCATTCTCCTTGGCGAGGAGAAAATGGGCAACGGGGGTCCGCGGGGGGGGGGGGGGGGGGGGGGGGGGGGGAGGGGGGGTGGGGGAATGGGTGTGGAGAGGAGAGGGGGGGTGTGAGGGGGGCGAACTGGGTTGCTGCTGTTTGTTTTTTTTTTTTTTTTTTTTTTTTTTTTCTTCTTCTTCTTCTTCCCCTTCTGCAGAGGACGAACTGGGGGGGGTTTTTTTTTTTCTTCTTCTTCTTCCCCTTCTGCAGAGGACGAACTGGGGGGGGTTTTTTTTTTTTTTTTTTTTTTTTTTTTTTCCTTCTTCTTCCCCTTCTGCAGAGGACGAACTGGGGGGGGGGGGGTTTTTTTTTTTTTTTCTTCTTCTTCCCTTCCCCTTCTGCAGAGGACGAACTGGGGGGGGGGTTTTTTTTTTTTTTTTCTTCTTCTTCCCCTTCTGCAGAGGACGAACTGGGGGTTTTTTTTTTTTTTTTTTTTTTTTTTCCTTCTCTCTTCTTCCCTCTTCTTCTTCTTCTTCTGCAGGGGGACGAACTGGGCTTTTTTTTTTTTTTTTTTTTTTTCTTCTCTCTTCTTCTTCTGCTTCCCTCTTCTTCTTCTTCTTCTTCTTCTCTCTTCTGCGGGTTAGGTTGGGGGGGGGGGTGGGGTTGGGTGGGAGTGGACGGTGTTTGCTGCTTTTTTTTTTTTTTTTTTTTTTTTTCTCTTCTTCTTCTTCTTCTTTCTCCTTCTTCTTTTCTGGGTTGCTGGGTTGCAGGAAGATGATGGGGATTAGAGAGGGGGAGATGCACGAATAACCCTGGACCTACAGAAAAAAAAAAAAAAAAAACCCAGAAAAAAAAAAAAAAAAAAAAAAAAAAAAAAAAACCCCAGTTCGTCCCCTGCAGAAGTAGA